TGTGTGATATCCTTTGTGTGTGTGCATGTGTAAGCATGGTATTTGCCTGTCTGTGTGAGTGTGTCCACCTGTGTGTGCACTGACCTGTGCAAGTGTATGTGGAAACCAGCAGTTGACTTTGGATATCGTCCTTTATTGCTGTACACCTTATTTTTTTTAGATAAGAGTGTCTTATTGAGCTTAGACAAGCTAGCTCTTTCAACTAGTGTGGTTGGCCAGTGAGCCACTGGGAACCATCTATCATCTCCAGTCCTCTATTTCCAACCTCACCCCGCTGCACTAGGGTTAGGGGTATATGCTGCCACACCTGGCTTTTTATGTAGGTGCAGTAAGCACTTTACCCACTGAACATCTCTCCAGACTCAGACTGCTACATTCATAATAAGATCATTAATGAAGTCTGGAGGCAGAAATCTTATATAAAGACAAGTCTATAAGATAACTAATTTGCTGCCAACTAAAATCAACATTTTCATAAAGAAAAACTATTGAAAAAGTCACTCCAGGAGCAGTTAACTAAATGAAAAAATTCTACGTATATAAATAGGACATAAATTAAAGATACTATAAAGTTTTAAAAATCTTACCTTTTAGCAATGCAGTAAGTATTGCAACATCTATATCTTGATGCTCCTCTGATCCAATGTGGAAAACAGTGATCTATTTCAAGATTAATCCATAATATTATGCCTTTGCATTTTAAAAAAATATTTTATTTATTATTTTTATTTTATGTGTATGAGTGTATTGCCTGCATGTATGTGAGTGCACCCATGTCATGCAATGCCAGAGGTCAGAGGAGGGCTTCGGATTTCCCTGGAACTGAACTTAAGGACAGTTCATATCCACCATGTGGATGCTGGTAATCAAACTTAGGTCCTCTGCAAAAGCAGTCAGTGCTCTTAATTGCTGATCCATCTCTCCAGCCTTTGTGTTTTTAAAGCTAAAGGTATCATAAAACAAAAAGCAATTTCAAAACATACAAAGAGGGAACATGTATACAAATATCCATGCATAATGGATATTTGCAAGGTTGTCAAGATGGCTCAGTGGGTAAAGGTTTGGACTACACAAGCTTGAACTGAGTTTAATCCCCAGAATCCATTAAAGCTGGAAATAACCAACTCCACAAAGTTGTCCTCTGACCTCTATGTGCACACACACACATTTTTAGAAAAACAAAGATATTTATATTCACTTATGTATCTCTATACATAAATATATATATCTCTAATATAGAAATATAAATGACAGAACATCTCAACCCTAAAAACAAAACAGAAAATTAAGACTTCCATCATTTACCAAACAACAGCAATTATACTAAAAGTATTTTGGTTCATATCTTATTTCTTTTAACAATTTATGGATCGAGGGTACAAATTACCTATCTGAGTAACTATTGTTTTCTATTACAGAGTGAACTCTATGAGAGTGACCTTTTCTCTGAGAAAAGTTCTTGCTACACAGTCCAGGCTGTGCCACAACTGACAATCCTCCAGCATTAGCTTCACAAGTGTTGGGATTACAGGCTTTCAGGAGCATGCCGAGCAGTGTGTATTCCTGGGGTGGGGGGGTGTTTTATTCAGCATTTTTATTGTGAATATCTTTAATAAATTATGTAAAATATAACATCATTTAGGAAGCTTCTACATAGGTAGTGTTCATAAAGTAAAAGATTATTACAACACAAATTTTCAACTGACTTCATTTCATAGAGTATAAAGCTTGCAATAAAAGACAACCCAGATCAATACTTGATCTGAGTCAAAAGGCCAAGAAGCAACAGACAGTCAGTCAAATCACATTAATATCTACCAATAGAGCTACTAAAAATTTTTATCTTTGGAAACTTAAGCTGATGTTTATGATTAAAGTAAGCAGCGGAGATCTTTAATCTAGCAGTCTGAAGCACTAAGAATAAAAGTGTCTAAAATATTTCCCAAACATTTGGTTAGAGAAGTCACCAGCAACTCTTTAGAGTTATTATTATTTGTCTCTATTTACTGATATGTGTATGTGTCAGTTCACATGCATGTGCTCATGCACATGGTCACGCACAGTGTCCACGTGTACGTCAGCAAACAACTTGTGGGAGTCAGTACTCTCCTTCCACCACGTGGGTTCCAGGGATTGAACTCAGGTCATCAGGCTTAGGAGGAAGCACCTTTACCCAGTGAGCCATTTGCCAATCCCATCATAGTTCTTAAATACTAGGCATAACCAAAACTCAGTTAAGTAAACTTTTCTTTCAAGACAGCAAATATATTGTCCCAAGCATTAAATTATAATCTTTTTGTGCCATCATAAAGCTGGAGAACGCCAACAAATAAATGACAAAACAGACAAAATTTTAAGTGAGATGGCTCAGCAGTTAAAAGAACTGGCTGATCTTACAGAGCACCTGGGTTTGGTTCCCAGCATCCACATGGTGACTAACCATCAGTAACTCCAGTTCCAGGGAATCCAGAGCCTCCTTTTGGCCTCGGTAGGCACTGTATACACGAGGGACACATCGATACTTATACACTTAAAATAAAAATAAATATAAAATACTTGAATCCAAACTAAAAATCAAATCATTCTGTGAATTTAGAATGTGCTTTAAAAGAAATAGAAAGACTTTTCTGTTGAAATCCACTCACAAGCTCTTTTTTCTTCATGCATTCCATCAGTGTTTGAAATAAATGAACTGCTTCACTCTGGCCAAAGTTGAATGTTTTTTTGATTGTTGAAATAATATCAGACTCTGCTACATCAGGAAGATTCCTGGTATAAGAGGAAAAATAACTTATTTCACTCATTTCATCTACTCTGATCTGTAGGACCAAAATGAAGTGCAGGCAGATTCATGCAAAACTTCTAGAGAGTCTATGTTAACATTAAATACTGACTTGGGGTAAAATTATTTTCATCTTTATGAGACACTCATTATTAAAGTCTTATGGTATAAAAAAAGAATGATGTCATTTTCCTCTTTGAATTATTTTGTCAATATTTTTACAAAGTATGTATTACAATATTAGTACTCACATTTTATAAGACAACATAAATATAATTTTAAGATATGACAGCACTTTACCAAAAGATCTTAAACATAAACTCATTTAAAAAAAATTTTATTAGGAGCTGGGCGTGGTGGCGCACGCCTTTAATCCCAGCACTTGGGAGGCAGAGGCAGGCAGATCTCTGTGAGTTCAAGGCCAGCCTGGTCTACATAGTGAGTTCTAGGACAGCTTGGGCTACAGGGAGACCCTCTCTCAAAAAGACCAAATAAATAAATAAATAAATAATAATAAATATTTTTTTAAAAAACCAGAGGGAAAAGTATTAGTCCAAAAACGTACTGAAAAACTGCACATACAATATCTCTACATAAGTCTGTGTGTATAGCTGAAGGCTACATAACAAGAAACAGTGCCAGACAGGAGAAACCTTCCTTTGAGTTGTTGGTTAGGGTAGTCCAAGAGACTCACGAAATTATACAGGCTATTGCCACGGTCCTTGAATCCCTCCCAGAACTTGAAGGTAAAACCCTATTGCTGAAGACAGGACATACTTTGGACACAGGATTTAGAGCAATGGAGCTGGAATTGACCTGGAAGCCACCTCCCCTGAAGGTTAGCTCTCACAGCTTTGGAAAGCACTATGCAAGCTGGTAAGGGAGGTCCAACACCAAGTTTAAGGCCTAATAACTCCATCAATGAATGACAACATTGGTGTAGTAGTGGCACTTTTATCTTGGGGTAATCAACAGCTACCTAATTGGACTTAAAGCCCATTCAATGGGAGGAAACTCCAGTGTGGTACTGTAAACATAGCCAAATACACATGGTTAGAGAGGTCATAGATTTTAGAGAAAACCACAAGGCTGTCACATCCCTAGACAAACAGTTTCTTACTATATGCTAAGTATGGATCCTGATATTTACAGACAAATCTGTCAGTCATCACTCATCAAAGAAGCTTCTTTTCCAACAGACAGACTTCCAAAACTGGTCACACAGAGAATATGTGTCTGTGAGATGCCCAACCCTAAGTGACACATCTAGAATGGAACCTCTATACCTAAAGCTCACAGAACACAGTGGAACAAGGGGTAGAGAAAATACTAATGCATCTCTTAACTCTCATAAGCAAAGCTTCCTCATTTCCTCATACAACAGAGGGTGATAAACAAAAAAGACCACAAATGGCAAAAGTGTAGAGAATAACAGCCTGCAGAATATAGATCCCTGCATAGAACTCCTATATTTTAACTTCACCCCTTGGGCTCAGGGACCATTGTGAAATGGGGCGGGGGGGCGCAAAAAGATTGTAAGAGCCAGGGCAAGAAGTACATGCCCATAAGGAAACAGAGTCTTACGGGCTCCTTGGACTTTGCTCATCAACATCAATGGTGTTAGCATGCACAAGACCCATGTAAACTCAAGCAGACAAAAACCCAGGAAAGAAATGGGGAAATGGGCAGCAGGCGCCAGTCCTGGCAGCTGATTACTGCTTGGTGAGGGAGAACTGATGTTTTTTTTTTTTTTTTTTTTAAGTTAGAATATTCTAATTGGAAAACAATTACTGTGAAACTATTTACATTCTCATAGAATTATAAACATTTCTCAAGGAATACTTTACAGCACAACTTTTTTTTTTTTCATACAGAAGAATTCATTCCAAAGCAATTGACACTGAGACGTTTTCACATGCATTTCTAATCTCTATATGCATGACTATCACTGGTCACAGTCGCCCACCTTCTGAGCTCCTCGGCATCTGAGCTCAGAAGGTGGACGACTGAGAACTGATGTTTTTAAAAGGAAGTGACTGTATAGATAGGATGACTAGATGCCAGTGGATGAACTTGTACTGAGGGGTATCTCGGTACACTAACTTGACTCAATAGGCCTTAATATATAAATGACAGAATGCATGGAATCTGGTGGGGGGCTATAGGAGAGTGCAAAATTAAAATGTTTTGTATGAAATACACAAAAAGTCAACTGAAATATAAAAAGGAATGCTTCCCTAAGTTTCTAGTCACCCTTACAGAGGGGCCATGCTAATCTCTTTATTGTTCGAATTTTAGCATCTGTGCTGCCAAAGTGAGCATATTATCCTCTTTATATATGTAAAAAGTGCCAGTATATATACTGCTCTACATCTTTTTTTTTCCATATAGATATTTTGCTAATGTTCACAAATCAGGTACACAGGTGCCATCGTTATTTAGCTATACGCTAGTCCACTGTGTAGTTGTGCCACTATTTATTTATTTAGTCCTCTTCTAATAGATGCTCTACATACCCTTAGCTTGTACAAATAACCCTGCAACAAGAAACTATGTATTTGTTATTGTTGTTGTTTTGAAAAGGGTCTCTCTGTAGTCCCAGCTAGCCTGGAACTTCCTATGTAAACCAGGCTGGCCTGGATCTAAAGAGATCAGCCTGCCTTTGTCTCCCAAGTACTGGGCACCACAACGAGCCCAGATGTATTTTTCATAGGTGTTCATCTGTAGGTATGATTAACAGAAACTAAACTATCAGATCAAAAGATAAGAACCTCTGAAAAAATAATTGTCTTCTAAATGTTACACTATATATTTTTAATATTTTATTATTTTTATTTTATGTGTGAGTGTAGGTAAGTGTACCCATGTCATACAATGCCCGTGGAGGACAGAAGAGGCCATCAGATCCCCTGGAACTGGAGTTACAGACAGTTGTTAGCTGCCATATGGGTGCTGGGATTCAAACCTGGGTCTTCTGCAAGAACAACCAGTGTTCTTAACCACTGAGCCATCTCTCCAGCCCACAGATATTATACTTTATTTTAATTCATTCCAATATTGTATGAGACAGGCTGCTTCCTTAGGGCTAAACAAATTTAATTAACTTGAGATTTTTATGTTGTTAAATGGACAAAGTAATCCAAAATCATATAAACTATAAGATTCCTCAGTAAAATTTTTTTTTTTTTTGGTCTTTTTGAGACAGGGTCTCCCTGTAACCCTAGCTGGATTAGAACTCACTATGTAGACCAGGCTGGCCTTGAACTTAAAGAGATCCCCCTGCCTCTGCCTCCCAAGTGCTGTGATTAAAGACGTGTGTCACCATGTCCAGTCCTTCAGTAAATTTCTTAAAAATCTATTATACTCATATACTTACCCCCCTTCTTCAGTTTGTTTATGAATATATGCTAGTAAATCTGCAGCTCTGCCTGTTCCTTCACACACAACAACTGGAACAGGTGGACTTTCCTGAAGATATTCTAAGACTGTGAGGATAACATTTGGCCCACCCTCAAATATCAGGGCCACCACAGGGACTCCTTGCCCAATTCCTGAAAAAGGTAAACATTTAATCAGTAAATCAGGTAAAATTCTGTAATTTTATCTTACTAATTTTAAATGAAAATTAAACATCAAAGCAAAATTTCTTTTTTTGTCTTTTTGAGACAGTCTCCCTGTAGCCCCAGCTGTCCTGGAACTCACTATGTAGACCAGGCTGGCCTCAAACTCACAAAAATCCGCCTGCCTCTGCCTCCCAAGTGCTGGGATTAAAGGCATGCACCACCATGCCCGGCCCAAAGCAAAATTTCTTACAAGATAGCTGACTTCACTTTACGTTCTCAATGTTAATACTAGTCTCATATAATAAGAATACTAAATAAATTGCTTTATCATTAAAACATGCTCTTGGCAAAGCATGATGGTGCACACTTTTAATCCCAGCACTCGGAAGGCAGAGGCAGGTAGAACTCTGTGAATTTGAGTCCAGCCAGGTCTACAGGTCTACATAGTGAGGTCCAAGTCAGTTGGGGCTACAGGGAGACCCAGTCTCAAAAACAAAACAAAACGACCTATTTTAGATGGTAAAATTAGAAATTTCAACACTTAATTTACTGCAAACTAGAAAATATAACAAGTGAAAAGTAAACTTTTTAAAAATCTATTAACTGAGTTTTTGGCAAGATGTGTGTAACACTAACTCATGGTTTAATTTGCCTTTTTTTTTTTCCTTTTTCTTATTTTTGAAAGTCTTGCTATATATAGCCCAGGCTGATCTAGAACACAAGATCCTCTTGTTTCAATCTCCTCGGTGCTGTGATTACAGGTATGTGGCACCAAGAGAGGTTTACTATTCTTTATTTTTTTTTTGGTCATTTTGAGACAGGGTCTCCCTGTAGCCCCAGCTGATCTGGAACTCACTATGTAGACCAAGCTGGCCTTGAACTCACAGAGATCCGCCTGCCTCTGCCTTGAATTCCTAACATACATCTGCTTTTAATTTTTTATGTAAAATTATTTATTCATTTTTATTTTATGTGTATGAGTGTTTTGTCTGCATGTATGTAAGTACACCTATGCATGCAAGGCCTACATAGGCTCAGAGAGGGCATTGGGTCCCCTGGAACTGGAGCTGCAGGCAGTTGTTAGCTGCCAGGTGGGTGCTGGGAACTGAACTTGGGTCCTCTGCAAGAACACCCAGTGCTCTTAACCTTGGAGTCATCTCTCCAGACCCTCTGTTTTTATTTTTAAGATTCTTATTATTTCAAAATGAGTTGCAACATTAATATAGAACTTAATAGAAAAAAACTTAGATAAGTGGAACTGATTAATAAAATTGTAAGACTTCTACAAGATAAAAGAAAAAAATTAAGAATACCAATTTCTATTTTTACCACCTGAAGTGCATTGACAAAATACAAAATGTTTTTAACTGTAGGATTACAAAACATTACTAATTTTCAGGGCTGGTGAGATGGCTAGGTGAGTAAAGTAAAGCACCTGACAACCAGAGTTCAATTTTGGGTGCCACATAGTGGGAGGAGAACCAATGTCCACAAACTGTCCTCTGACCTACCTTTAATCTTAGCACTCTATATAGACCAGAGGCAGCCTGGTCTATATAGAGTTTAAGGCCAGCTGGGGCTACAGGAATACTTCGTCTCAGAAACACCCACACCAAACAAAAAAATACTGCTTTCCATAAATGTTCCAAGTCAACCACAAGTTACCTGTGCTGTTCTTTATGTGCTTCTACCTCGCACTTTGTTACAGTATTCACCTTGATGTACTAGGGTTACAGAATTCCTTCTACTTATAATAATATATAGATTTTGAACGAGAAAGTTCAGTCACAGTTGGAAAGGAAAAATCTGTGCCAAAAATATCAACTTTTAAGCCATCTGCCAAAGAGCAATACTTACTCTATAAATTTTAGGGAAAGCTCATTCTTAAAGTCTCACTGTTTTATATATTACTATCTTGAATTTCAAAGCATGTATTGAATTTGCCACACATTAAAACTGTTAGTAAATTCCTTGGGCTACAATGGCTTAGAACAGCAACATTTCTAAAGAACTTTTTGACTTTAGACTGGAAACCTGAGTATGCTATTTGGCCTGAGGTGTTTTCTTCTAAGATCAGCCATTCTGAGCTGTTTTGTAGGTTCCTTTCCTATGTAAGGTAAAGAGTATTTCAAAGAACATTCTTCTTTTACAGTATGTTACTGGCCATTAACACAGCTTCGAACAATTCAACAATCATAAATTTGTGAATTTCCTTACTTGCATGAATTCTTTGCTGATTAATAGTTTTTTCAAGTTCCCTTCTCAGTCTGACTTCTGCCCCATACTTTCCCACAGTGCCATCATCTACTAAGATGAAATGGGAGTGGAGATTGTTCAGAACATTCAATTTGCTCAGGGGATTCAATAAGGTTTGGTAAGGAGCAACCACCTAAACAGCAGCAAAATAACAGTTAGTGGGCAGAATTAAATGTAATATAATGTAAAATAAATTCTGAAATGGCCTATAGACAAGAGGTACAATTCTATTTCTGCATTTGGAAATAAATAGTAAAGGCACAAGCTTTTAAGTAGTTAAAGATGAATAATGGATTGATTCACATAACTACATCTTGTTCTCTTTTTTTGCAAAATTATGTATTTCTCTGTCACATGCAAAAAAAGAGCAGCAAGTAAACAGAGTGCTAATATATCATCATATAGTTATTAAGTGAATAAACTGCAATACATAAGACACTAAAAAAGCAATAAAATGTATCTAAGGGTAAGTAAAGTATTAAAGCTGATATTAGAAATTTAGTAACAATGTCATAATTCAGTAAGTATTGTTACTGGTTTCTTGATAAACATCTACAAACCAATTCGTCTTCAGTTTATTCAAATAAAACATCAGCATTTGATTCCTACTCTTAATGACATAAGATTAATTCTTACTGTCATATAATCATTAAAAATTTAAATACAAATACCAACACGATGAAAAATATTAAAATAATTTTCTACATGAATGAAAACAAAATGTACCAATATTATTATGACAATCATTTATATTTATAAATGTATTTTAAAAAGACCAGATGAACATCATTGGAAAGCAGTGTTTTAAACAATGTAAAAAGCATGGCATGACCATGAATATATTAAATTGGCTTGCACTATTCTTGCTATAATTCTGTTTATACATAAATTGAAGAAAGACATCCAAAAACCATTCTTACATCTCTCCCGACAAGATCATTTCTGTTTTCTATTACTCCCCAGGGAGCTATTCCAATAGTGCAAATCTTTCGAGAGGATCTGGAAGCATGTTCTTTGAGGGCATCACCAACATGTTTAGCCACACCTGTTCATACAAAATTTTATTAATTTTTAATTCAGTCTTTACTACATTTAGAAAAGTTCTATACTTACTTTCTAACATCACAATTTGTGATGTTTCCTTAACAAAAAAGATTATAAAGCTTTAAGACCCAAAGCTTAGTTTACAAAAGGATATAAAATGACCAAATAGATTAAAAACAATATAAAACCCAATAACATAATATCAAATCCACTGCAACTACCCAAAATATATGTAAAATTGAATTCCTCCATGTTGGTAATTTTAACAAACTGATATATCAGTCATTTAATTTGTTTTTGTAGCACATCAGACCTCATCCTTCACCTACAATATGGAAATAACATCTTCCTTGGCCCTTTACCCACTTCCTTGCTTGCTTACAGTCCATTTTCAGAATACATTCAAGTAATCTTTACTCTTGCCAACTATTTCCTTAAAAGTTTTCCCTCGTAATTCAA